TAAACTTTTTATGCTTGATAGATTGATCATTTTTATTGGGTTGGTGAATTGAAAACTGCGGGCTATTGTCATATGTGAAAGTTTGAGCATTTTCTTCAAAAGAAACCCATTTTGGTGTCAATGGAAAAGTTGTAGAGAATCAAAAATCAAGCTTATATCCAAATTTTCAGAACGATTCAAAAACTGGTTTTCAAGAAATGCCAAATTTACGAATTTTCACAAAGCTTGCAACAAAACTTGCATTTTAAGCCAAACTACTAAGTGTATCTTTTTGGAAATTTGGCTATAAGCCTAATTTTTGATTCTCTACAACTTTTCTATTGACACCAAAATGGGTTTCTTTTGAAGAAAGTGCTCAAACTGGACAAGCTGGGACATCTCCAGTCCTCGATTTTTGAGTCTCACACTTGTCTCACACACAAACCAAAGTCCTACTACGAAAGTGGAATCTGCAAATTGCCTGTAAAATGGGCAGAAGTCGTCAATAATAATGGAAATTATTTGGAATGAATTGATGATTTTATGTTGAATAAATTTTAGTTCAAAGTCCCACAGTTTTCAATTCATCAACCCAATAGCTAAGAGTTGGCTATCAAATTATTTAGCAATATAAATTCTCCCTTTACTCCATTGTTTTATTAAAACTTTTTATACTTGATAGATTGATCATTTTTACAAATCAAAACTGTAAAGTTCATTTTCTTATCAAACTCAACTACAGTCATGGACATAAGTCTTTTAACGTTGGTTTTTAGAACGTTTGTTTGGCTTTTTTGTATATCTTGGTCCAAATTCGACCAATTTGCAAACATTTGGAAGATTAAAGAGTTTATTATCTCTAGTTTTAGCATTAGCAAAAAGATGGATTCAACAATTTATAACATGCCACGAGCTTTTAAAAAAACACAAAAATTTAGCTAAAAATCGATGGACAAAAGTCTTTAATATCACAGTTTTTTCGAGGAGTTTCTTCTTTTTCTGTTTTCTATTCAAAGTCAACTATAATTCATTTTCTTCACCGCCAATAAACACTCGATTTTTTTCATCTCTCACGTTCTGTTCCAGAAAGACACATTTCTGCATTTCCGAGCACTTTTGCGCATCATTAATTGGAAAAAGAGACTTGTGGGAAATTCCTGAACTCTTTTCTTTGCTGATGTCTGATGTTAAGAATTGATCGCCAAAAGACTAACAAACCTTATTGATTCTTTGACATTATTGAGTTATTCTTTGACGTTACTGACAAACTTTATTGGATTTAGTGATAAATAAGGGTTTAGGATGAGATAATCCATCAAGCATTGCATGAAATTTTAGGTTTTGGTTGCCGGATCGTACAATTTTTCCTAGAAGAGTCATTTAAGCTTAGAACAGTCATTTAAGTCATTAGAACAGTCATTTAAGCTTGGAAATATTTCCAGGAGTTCAAAAACCTAACAAGGGAATGATCTCGGCTCGAAGTTGAGAATCGATTCGAGATCTGGTGCATCTTGTAGAGTCCGACATGCTGATTCCGAATCTGCAAAATTTAGCTGCAAACACCCACGCAATCGCTAGGAATCTGGCATAGAAAATTGATTGATTTTTCTCTTAAGATGCACCCGATCCCGAGTCGATTCTCAACTTCGAGCTCGACGATTCCCTTGTAAACATCAACCAGGAAGCTTTTAGAGAGAATTCTAAAAAGGACAGAACGTTCGCGGCACTCTGTATATTGGGTTGGTTTTCTCTGAAGAAATTTTTATTCAGTTAACAACTTCAAATCATGCGAGATATTTGCCATTATTTTGTATGATTTGTGCCCATTTTACTGGTAAAAGTCGAATGCCTCTCTCGTAGAAAAACTTCGGTTTTCACGCAAACCAATCTGTCAGCCATTTTTTGACCTTTTCTTTGGAATCAAAGTGTTGGTTCGCAAAATCATTGCTCATCACCCGAATACTTATTAATCAGAAGTAATCAGAGTAATCAGAAGGTGCAAGAACAGAGCTGTAGGATAGGCCATCACCTTCCATGCAAATGAGTTTAGTGTAGAACGAGTCATCTTCGAAACATCTTTTCTAGCATTATCATGTTGAAGAATGATTTTTCTCTTAAGATGCACCCGATCCCAAATCGATTCTCAACTTCGAGCTCGACGATTCCCTTGTAAACATCTTTTGTAAACATCATTCATTTTTGTAGAGTTGTTTAACTTCAAATCTTATTCTGTATCCATTTTCTCAAGACTTACGTCTTAAACTTAGTTCAATTGGTCATTTCAAAGTTGCTAGCATCACTACTCGAGAGTGTGTGCAAAAGGGTTCCGGAAGGAAACTCACTTCCAGCGAAAAGGTGGTTGAAAATGGGCCAAAAAGCGAACTGATCCATAGAATCTGGGTGTTCCTTCGACCCAAGCCGAAGAAAAAAAAACTAAGAAAAATGAGGCAAGGGAGAAAAATGCCTTCGAACCCGTAATACCCCCATGGGGATGTGTGTATGGAAGGGCAAAAAGGGGGAGACGCTCTCTGAAATGAAATTCCCCCATTTCTTTTCACTATTGAGAGACATAGCACACATTCACACTCGACATATCGATGGCCCATAAAGCCCACTCGGAGACTCATTTCTTTGAATAACATTAATGAAACGAGTTTGTTTTTTTCTTTTTACCGCTGTTAATTGAAAACTTTTACTGAAACTTTGTACGGAAACGGAGTACGGAAACTTTTAGTACTGAAAGTACTGGCTTAGTATAGTACTTTTAGTACTGGCTTAGTATAGTACTTTTAGTACTGGCTTAGTATAGTACTTTTAGTACTGGCTTAGTATAGTACTTTTAGTACTGGCTTAGTATAGTACTTTTAGTACTGGGTTTCTTTTCTGATTGATAAGTTTTCTTTTCTGATTGATAAGTTTTCGAGTCGCATCTCTAAACACTTTCAAGCAAGTTATTTTATTGGATAGATCTATTTTGGCTCTGAATAAACATCAAAAATAAGCTAACAAGACTAATAAGATTCATTTACATTAAAGAAAATGATTTTTTGTCTTTTGTTAATGAAAAGAATTGCTAATGACGAGGGGGTGGATAAAGGAAAAATTGAGGGAGTGAATGGGAGGAATGGGAGGGATTAATCACTTGAATGGATCATTGACACGTGGCCATTATTTACTTAATCCTTTCACGCTGCAAATTTTGAATCATTTTTGTTGTCGGATTATTGAACGTTTAAAATAGGTTTTTAACCCAAAACATCTAGCCGATTTCTGGCTGGATTCTAGCTGATTTCTGGCTGGATTCTAGCTGATTTCTGGCTGGATTCTAGCTGATTTCTGGCTGGATTCTAGCTGATTTCTGGCTGGATTCTAGCTGATTTCTGGCTGGATTCTAGCTGATTTCTGCCTAGATGTTTTCTAGTAAACAATCAATTAGAGAGATTCTAGCCGATTTCTGCCTAGCGGCAATCCGTCACTAACTGGTAAATAAACCCTAAACTGAGTCTCTTTCAGAACTTTAAGCTTAACTCTTGTATTCAAATACCAGCTTTCCCAGTGCGTTTCTCATCTGCTAATTGCTAATTGCTAGATCTTTTCACCGTGGCGCAGTCGGGAACGTGCTTGTCTACGGCCCACACGATCCAGGTTCGACTAGAGTGTGTTCCTCTCTGTTAATGCGTTTCCTAAAACACGTGCTCAAAAACAGCCACCATAAACGCGACGTAAATTTTACACTCAAAGTTTCAATGCAAATTTTCAGTGCAAATTTTTCCTCGAAAAGCTTTATTCAAATTATTATTAATGTTCCATCTATTTTTGATTATTAACTATATTCTATAACATTTATATTATTAATGTCCCATCTATAAAAAAACGTTCCATCTATTTTACATGACGATAGCCAGATAAATGCAACGGAAATCTCTTTCATTGATTTTTTTATTAGATAAAGAAAGCGAAGAACTGAGCGATGAGGAGAATTGTATATTTAAATATTAAAATCTTGCCCGAGTTCGATTTCTTCTGGCTTTGGCTTTTCCTTTTTAGCAATTACGTTTCTTTCTTCTTCTCTCAAAAAGCAATTAACTCCTATAATTTTTTTAAAATTTGAAACTTTACAGAAAAAAAACTGTTCTCGTTATGCATTTGACGTTGTTTCACATGTTGTCACTGATTTCTGTTGCTCGTAGTGTAGAGTTAATCTAAAAATAATTGTTATTTAATAAAGAATCAAGTTAAAAGAAATAGGAGCAAAAAAAACCAAAGAAGCATCAATCATAAAAAATTCTTAAGTCAATCTGATCATTGGAAGTCGAATTATAGAATAAAATAGAAAGTGCGCTAAAGTGCCATTTTGACTACAGAAAAACGGCACTTTAGCGCACTACTTTTCAAGACGGTTTTTCTCTATGTTTTTATCGAAGAGTATACAAAAGAGATTCAAAACATTCAAAACAAAACAAAGCAAAACAAAACAAAGCAAAACAAAACAACAACAAAAGTTTGTACCTGAATTGTGCGAAAATCATTCTTATATTTTGTAATCCATCTAGAATACACTGATCGAACACGCTTTTTGATGTCTAATCCACCAAGACCATTATTTATTTACTTTTACTCAATTCCGAAGATAAACTCAAACCTTTGAGCTCAAATTTCACTCAAATTTCAAATAATAATCGTGCTCAATCTGTTCTGTTGCTAGTGAATATTCTGAAATGATGGATATTCTGATTCGATAACCCGAAAATTGCATAACCTCTTGAATATTTATGACTTTGATGACACAGTTTATTTTGCCACTCTCTTTTCCCTCTTTCTTCAATGAAATCTCTCTTTCTTTCTTCAATAAAATCGCTCAACCTCTAAAAATCACTTACGTAAATAACTAATCTCAAAGAATTTCTCAATGCGGATTTTCTCCACCCAATCTCTTCTTATCCATTTTGTCGATTTCAGATCATCAACGGGTGAAGAAACCGGGGAATTACAGCGCTTTTGAACGGAATTTCCATTGAGCGATGGCAAGAATGGCTCCACCGCATACAATTCAACATGTCAACTCTGATAACAACTTGTTGAGGCCTGATTCACCAGTAAGTTTTTTAATAAAACTAGAGTTATTTTTGAATTGGTTATTGTTTTTTTTTCTAAGCAAATTGACGATGACTGACTAATTTAAAAAAAAAATACATTTATTTATACGAATAACACGATTAAACAAAAATTTTGGTGGTCATGAACGTTTCAGCGTTAAATTTTTAGTTTTTTAGTTTTATTAGGCTACATTTACTTAAAGGTTAAAGATTCACATTTAACAGAAAATGCAAAATGAAAAATTTCGGTTCACACGGTCACCTTTTGACAAGCTAACGCTTCATGTGAAACCAAGATTCCCAAAATAACAAAATTTTGCCTAATTGAGTGTCACGTTACCTTTCGATTTGTTTGGTAATGTTTAAAAAGTATTGCAAAAACAGAAGCGCTTAAAGAAATGCTCAATTATTGACGTTTACTGGTAATGAAAAGCCTCCAAAAAACAAGTCATGCCCACCAAAATTTTTGTTAAATTCTCCAAAGGCAAGTGCCGCGCCAAGCAACTCCTAACTGCCAACTTTGAGGTTCTATAAAAAGAGGCAGAAAAGGTTTTTTCGTCAAGCCTAAGAATCCATCGTAGAAAAATATTTAAACTTTCCATTAAAACAAAGCGTGAGATGATTGCACATTTAAGTGCTGAGTTACATTTAAAATACCGACTCCAGGTAATTATTGAACATCCACAAAGTTTCGACAACACAGTTTTGAAAATCTATTGGGTTGGTGAATTGAAAACTGCGGGCTATTGTCATATGCCACAGTTTGAGCACTTTCTTCAAAAGAAACCCATTTTGGTGTCAATAGAAAAGTTGTAGAGAATCAAAAATTAAGCTTATATCCAAATTTTCAGAACGATTCAAAAACTGGTTTTCAAGAAATGCCAAATTTACGGATTTTCACAAAGCTTGCAACAAAACTTGCATTTTAAGCGAAACTACTAAGTGTATCTTTTTGGAAATTTGGCTATAAGCCTAATTTTTGATTCTCTACAACTTTTCTATTGATACCAAAATGGGTTTCTTCTGAAAAAAGTGCTCAAACTGGGACATCTCCAGTCCTCCATTCTCAAAGTCCAGTCCTCCATTTTTGAGTCTCACACTTGTCTCACACACAAACCAAAATCCTACTACGAAAGAGGAATCCGCAAATTGCCTGTAAAATGGGCAGAAGTCGTCAATAATAATGGAAATTATTTGGAATGAATTGATGGTTTTATGTTGAATAAATTTTAGTTCAAAGTCCCGCAGTTTTCAATTCACCAACCCAATAGAGAGTCTGGATCTGAAAGTTAGACAAAACTGATCAAAACCATCACCTAGTTTTAATTACCTTACTCAAAAGAATCAATGCTGCAAACTAAAGCAATATAACCAGCAATAAAATCTATTCAGTACAATGCGGCTCACCGTCTTCGCGGCAATGAAGGAAGAGCTGGTTCAGTGGGTGATTGCTCGAGAATGGCTTTATTCAGAGCAAGTCCGAAGAGTCAATTCCGAAGACGGTTTGTTTTATCTCGAAAATTCAGGTCTAATTTCTGATTTCTAGCTTTTTTTTTTATTCTTTGGTGACTATCAAATTTCCCTTTCGTGAAGATAGATCAATTTTCCGCCTTCTTGACTCCATGGAAATGAACACTGGGTAACGGGCGGGGAGGATTTTCGAAGCCAAAATTCTGAGAATCGCATCATCTATAAATTTTTCTTGTAAAAACTCAGTTTCTTGGCATTAAGCTGGTATTGCTTTCGATGGATTTCATTAAAATTGTATTGAAGAATCAGTTTAGATCGACGCGGCGTCGTTTGTCGAACGCTCAACGATTGGCCGATCTCGAGGATTTCATCAATAAACGGTGGGTTGATTGATGGTTGATTGATCAACAAGCAGTTGATGGTTGATTTTTGAGCTCACTATCAAGCATTCTTATTCAACTAATCAACCGAATACGACTGATTTACAATTACTATTTAGTTTTCTATTACTATTTAAGTGTCTTTTCGGTTAAATCGAGTGATTTGTTGCTAATTTAAATGTTTTGTGGTTAATTCAAGTGATTTGTTCACATTTTCCATTGAAATGTCAAGATAATGAGCTGTTTAAGCGGTTTGTTGCTAATTTAAGTGTCTTTTCGGTTAAATCGAGTGATTTGTTGCTAATTTAAGGATCTTTTTGGTTAAATCGAGTGATTTGTTGCTAATTTAAGGGTCTTTTTGGTTAAATCGAGTGATTCGTTGCTAATTTAAATGTTTTGTGGTTAATTCAAGTGATTTGTTGACATTCTAGTTTAAAACTTAAAGAAGTTGGAGTTTGTTGGAGTTTTAGTTCCATTGATATTGATAACTATTGATAACTACCAAACTACGAACAAATCCAGCAAAAATGACAAGAAATCTAGGCTACTGCAGCCGTTTTCTTGCTCTTGCAGCTGTTTTCCTTGGATCCTTTGCAATTTCCCTTTCAACTCTACAAAAAGAACAAAAAACATAATATTGTTACGACTTTCGGGCCTCATTTCTGGCTGACTTGATTAGGTTTTTGTCTGCCTCATTTTAGAGAGGAAGGAGAAAAAAAGATCGAAGCAAAAGGCTAATTTTCTGATTCTCAACGTTTCATCAAAGTTGTGGATAAAGTCTAGTTTGTCTTTGTCTTTGTTTTGTTCAATGTTTTGATGAAACAAAGTGTCATTAAAAGAAACCTGAATTGGTCTTAGACTGTCCAGAAAGTTTTTCCTTTCTTAGACTGTCCAGAAAGTCTTTTCGTTCCTTTCGAAAGTCTATATTAGGTTGAAAAGAAAGTCTGCACGAATTTTTTTTATCTGTCTTCGCACTTAGGTGCTCCTATTTTGCGCAGATCACAAGCTGCTTCCACATTTCTCTATCCATTGCTATTGTTATCCAGTGTTTCCTATCTTGGTTGTTCCAGTTCGAAGTCTTCGACTTGCTTGTGCTGGTGGTGGTTGCACTCTAGCCATCTTTTCTCTGACCGTTTCTGCCACTCTTGTGCTCCATCTCGTTGCTGGTCTTCTGATGGGCCTCTTCTGGTCTCGTGGTACCCACTCTGTGATCCGTATCATCCATCTGTTCCTTTGGTTACGTGACCGGCCCATCTGAGTCCTTTTCTCTCGATCACTTCCACTGGATCTCTGAGTTCCGAGAGCTGGCGCATATCCGTACTTCTTAGGTCTTGGTCGAGCTGCTATTATGCCCGAGGAGGTTCCTTTCAAGGGCTCGATGCGTCGTTCTCAGGGCTTGTCCGGTGGTCTGTGTCGTGGCCCAGGTCTCTGTTCCGTAGCAGAGTGCCGGGAGGCCGGTGCTGTCGAAGAGAAGAGGCCGAAGAGGTGTGCCCGAGTTCTCTGGTGATTCTTGAGTATCTTTGTGACTTCTTCTTCTTTGCACAAATTTGAACTAGAATTTCTTACAAACGAATTCACCAATTCAAGAAATACTTTACTTTATTATTTACAAGTCGACTCCAAGAAATGACTCGTAAAAAATGAGTGAAGCTTTCCCTTAAAATTTTAGAGATTTTTGAAAAAGTATTATTCTCCAGCATAAATTCAACTCCATTTTGCATCACAAAAACGATTATTCTATAATCTAACAAACGATTAATTCAAATAAATGATCAATATGCTCTATAATCTCTATTTTTGGCCAAAAATCTTTACAAAGAAGCTGTATTTCGATGATTTTTTCGTATCATCTTCTTGGCATCTTCTTGCTTTTTGCTAAAATCGATCATTCTGAAAAGAGAAAGCTCAGGCTCAGGCCCAGGCTCAGGCTCAGGCCCAGGCGCAGGCTCAGGCGCAGGCTCAGGCTCAGGCGCAGACTCAGGCTTAGATCAAATTCGCCTTAATCGCAAATTTTCCTTGTTTTGAGTACTTCATTTTAGATTTTGAATGGGTCAATTACCTATCCATTAACTGATTAAAAACTTGTCTAAAGGCTTGTCACTGAAAAAGTGACCAAATTACTTCCGCTAAAAAAATCTCTTATTTTTTACCTAAATCCATTCTGATTTTTTATCAAAAACTTTTTAAGATATAGCTAAGTTTCTCAAAAAAATTTGGGAAGGATTCATGGTTTGGTTTTTGAGAAATCACAATGCAAACTTTTTCCGAGAACTTTCTTTCCAATCTAATAGAACTACAGGGTTTCTCAAATTACCCTGACAACTTTTTGGAGAAGTAGTTGTGGCACGCTTAATTTACTTCAAAATGTCAAGTGTTATGTAGAAAGTTGTAGCCCTTAATCTTGGCTACTGGGAAGAATTGATGGCTTGATTTTTGAGAAATCATCGTGCTGGTCATGCAAAAAGTGACCAAGTCACTTCAGCTGAAGAAATTTCATATTCTTTTACTTGAAGCCCACTCTGATCTTTTTGTCAAAAACTTTTAAAAATATAGTTAACTTTCTCAAAAACATTTGGAAAGAATTCATGGTTTAGTTTTTGAGAAATCACCATGCAAACTTTTTCTACGAACTTTCTTGTCAACCTAATATAAGAATTACCTTCCAGCCATTAAGCTTCAAGAGCTTCTGTTTTTCGAAAATGCTTCATTTTAGGCCATTTCAGGCCACAAACAGCGATTTTAGGCTAAGATCATCTCTAGTATTTTCCAATGCTTGAGCCCGTTTACTCGTTTTGTTTCATGAGTTTCTTGCTGCCCCTACGGACCGAAATCCTTGGGATGAATCCAAAAATTCACAGCAGCTCCCTTCAGCACCCTTTTACAGGCACTTGGGATCCCATTTCGACCGACAGAGAACCCGCCATAGTGGTCAAAATGAGCCGGAACTGGGTTAACCAGTTCTACAGCCGGGGTTAATTTTGGGAAGCGGTGACCACATGGGGCAGACAACGGATTGGTTACCGGATGACCCAAAATGGACGCTTCCGATTTGAGAGTTGGAAAGGGAGCTATATCTGGAAGCATAGGATACTAGAACGAGAGCGATTATGCTCGCGCACAGAGAACAACCCGGTGATCTTTTTTGTTGCATTTTAAAGTGCAAAAACTTCAAATTCAAATTCCGTTAGAAAATGCCGCCAACTAAAGTTATATGAAACTAACATAAAAGAACTCTTTTTGTTTGTTCGCCTTCTAGAGCTTCTGTTTTTCGAAAAAGCTTCATTTTAGGCCATTTTAAGCCAACATCATCTCCGTTATTTTCCAATGCTTGACCCCGTTTACTCGTTTTGTTTCATGAGTTTCTTGCTGCCCCTACGGACCGAAATCCTTGGGATGAATCCAAAAATTCACAGCGGCTCCCTTCAGCACCCTTTTACAGGCACTTGGGATCCCATTTCGACCGACAGAGAACCCGCCATAGTGGTCAAAATGAGCCGGAACTGGGTTGACCAATCCTACAGCCGGGGTCAGTTTTGGGAAGCGGTGACCACATGGGGCAGACAACGGATTGGTTACCGGATGGCCCAAAATGGACGCTTCCAATTTGACGGGTGAAAAAGGAAGTATATCAGCGGGCGTCTTATGCCAGATCGAGCGCGATTGTGCTCCCTCACAGCGAACACACAGCTATCTTCTTTTTGCATTTTAAAGTTCAAAAACTTTTGCCAACTTTCTTGTCAACTTTCTTACCAACTTTCTTGCCAATCTAATACTTGCATATTCCTATTATTTTTACATAATCTAATCTGGTCTTACTCATCTTCTTTTCTAATTTCTTTTTCCTCTTTTCTCATTTCCTCAGCAAGATCCAGTAATCTGCTAGCTTTCGCGGCTTCTCTTCCCTTTTTGAAAAAAGAGGATGAATGCGTGTGACTTGTTCTCGATTTTCTTTTTCTCTTCATTCATCCTTCTCTTCAATCTTTTGTGGAGGGTTTCCAGAAAAAGGGCCTTATTTTTTGCCTAGTCCGATACATCGACGAGGCCTAACGGCGCCCCCTTTAGCCTCGGTCTTCCGTCTCTTCTGTCCCCTCAACTCCCCAACCCCGACGCACAACAATATCCGTTTCCTCTTCTTCAAGCTTTTGAGCTCCTTCCCTTTCCTTTTCCTTGTCTTTCCGTTTTCACGCTTTGAGAATCTCTATTGAATAAGTAGTAAGCAATAAGTAAATAAGTATTTATCTGATCTCTTTTTAGCTCTGGGTTCTTCTTGTGGCTAAACTCTCAATTTTGTTCATTCAAATCAATTCATTCTATCATGTTTGACTTTAGATATTTCAATTTGCAAGTATATTATCTGAATTATGTTTACGATTTGGCTAAATTAAAGATTTCAGCCTTTCCCTGCATTACAACCTTTCCTGTTGTTCCAAGAAAACATTTTTACTTTAAAACTTCCAAACTTCTAATTGATTTAACTTTTATTGTAAATTCAACAATCACAATTTCAGCATTTCAGCATTTTAACATTTAAACATTTCAACAATTTCTAGTTTACCTATCTGCCGTTCTAGTTCTAGTTTCACTCGTCCTTCTCCAAGCAAATTGAATTTGTGCAAGAGAAGTTAGCGTTCTCTTTCCGTTTACCCACATCTCGATTTCAAATTTCTACTGGATAAACTCTTCTAGTTTATTAAAGGTCTTGATCTTTTTATTCTTTTTTTTTTAGTATTCTTCTTTCTAGTATTCTTCTTTCTATTCAACTCTTTAACTTCTGCAAACTATGAGATTTAATATTATCCAGTGCAAGCAACTACAAGGCCTAGGATCTTCGCAAGAGCCATGCTCATCTAATTACTTCTTTTCCAAAAATAGTCAAACGAAATATTAGCCCGTGTAAGCTACTTTGGAGAAAAGAAAAAAGAAAAAGGCAAAAAAGGCAGTGCAGAGAGACGGGGTATTGATCTCCGGACCTCGGGTGAGTGAAAAGAAAAAGACATTTTTTTTTCTTTGAACATTAAATTAGTTTTTTTCCTGGAGTAATGAAAGCAATGTTCTTTTCTTAAGTGTTAGATTTTATTAGGCTATCCAGAAATTCTTTTTATACCTTTTCATACTTCCGTTTAAAAGAACAAATTCACCAATTAACCTATCTAAATAATCTAATAATCTAGTCACGGGTCGTCGGGCCGTCACGGATCAGAACGGGTCATCACGCTTTGAAGACCTATAACTTTGTCTAGAAATAATATTTTTGTTAACTTTTTATATCATTGTATAGATGACATTTCAGGCTTTCAAATGATACCAAATAGAGTTTGTTTGGATAATCCAGCCCAAGAAAATCAGAGCCAACTCTGAGCAAATGAGGCCTATCTAACTCGGATGTTGTGTCGCCTGGCTTGCATGGGAATGAGAAATCCAGTCAAGCTCTATTTGGTATCATTTGAAAGCCTAAAATGTCCTCCGCACACTAATATAAAGATTTAAAAAAAATATGATCTCTAAGCAAAGTTATAAGCCTTCAAAATCTCGACCCTTTCAAAATACCCGGATTTTTCCAAAATACCTGGAAACTGGTTGGCTCTGATTTTTTTGGACTCTATTATCCAATCAAAATGTTTTTAGTATCATTTGAAAGCCTGAAATGTCCTCTGTACACTGACATAAAAAGTTGACAAAGGTATTGGCTTTAGACAAAGTTATAAGCCTTCAAAGCGCGACGATCCGTTCAAAATACCCGGATTCTTTCAAAATTGCCTTATCCACATAAAATCTTCCTTCAAGCACATTCGAATTTAAATAATTTGTGGCCTTGATGGGTTTTTGTGCAGACCACAGCAGAAAAGCCGCCTATTGATCTTTGGACCTTAGAAGAGTGTGGGCAAAAAGGAGGGGGAAAACTCTCGTTGTGTCTCGGAGAAGAATCCTCTATGTCCTCCTTTGCCCAGATCTCCCTAAACAGAGATTTTTGGCTATAAATCTTTTAGTAACTAGCCTAGAAAGGACCCCACAATCTGCCATTTTTTCTTCAGAATTCGATTTAGTTCGACTTTAAAGATGAAATTTGTTCTTGATGAGGAACGTTAAACATCCAAAATCCAAAATCCAAAAAAACTTTCACTTTTGTTACAAGAATTTTCGAGTTCCCATATTTCATTGTTTCATATTTTCATTCAAAAACAAAAAAAGACCGCTTTGAAAGCATCGGAAATGATTGTTTTTTATGCACAACGTTTCCAGGCACCCGTTTCAGGAAACCAAACAAAAATAGCCACACCAAACGTTTCAGAAACCTTTTTGAAGCTGATCTAAGATCTATTTCAAATCTTTTCTAATAAATTGCCTCTAAATTCTCTCTAAATTGTCTCTAAATTGCATCTAAATTGTCTCTAAATTGTCTCTAAATTGCCACTAAATTTTGAGATTTTTTTTTGAAAATGGTTCTAATTGGAGTCAGGTTCAGATTTATCGCAAAAACTTGAGCATAATTAGCTCTATTCTGAGCTTGAGCTGTTATTTCAAAGTCTTGCAAAGTTTTTGAGCATTTTGCTGAATCAAATTGCACGTACACTACTGGACAATGAAATATCATATTTGAAAAAACACTTTCGCACTTTCGCGCGTCTGTAACTCCCTTGTCTTTACCGTATTTCTAAATATTAATATTACCATTGTGTAGCCCTTGAAAAGAGCTTTCAGAAAATGTATAACACTAACAGTTTAAACTCAAAGACAAGGGAGTTACAGACGCGCGAAAGTGACGATCGTTTTTCAAATATCATATTTCATTGTCCAGTACTGTAAGAACTCCTCTTTCTTTACTTTTTTAATATTATTGTTTTATTTTTATTATTCGGTTTAATTACGCAAGTATCATTGTTTTTATCGGATTTTTTGCTTGTTCTTGCTGATAACTGATCTTTCTTGAATTATTAAGAGTTAAGGATCATTTTTTCAATATCTATGATCATCTCAATTCCTTACCTTGCCAACATTTCATTATGTTCTCAAAGCTAAACTTTAAAACTATATTAGTAATCATCGCTGATTCATCGAGAATGGAGGCTATCAATGAAAGAGTTCGATCAGCACATGGAGCGGCGATTGGATGGGCGGGAAGACAAATTGATCGAGGAAGGAAATTATTGAGAGAACTGTCCGTTTCACAGTCAGGACCCACTCCCGAAAGTATCGCTCAACAGTGAGTTCATTTAGGCAAACCTAAGCTTGTGAATTGTTGCAATCCTAACCTTAATACAGCAAGCAAATCTTTCGCCTGAGAATCAAAGATATCGTATTTTTCCTAATAATGTGATACTAGCTAATAGAATGAAACCTCTGTGTTAAATTGATGGGCGGGGGAAGATACCGCATTTCCAATATACCTGTTAAAGTACTGGACAATGAAATATGATATTTGAAAAACGATCGTCACTTTCGCGCGTCTGTAACTCCCTTGTCTTTCAGTTTAAACTATTAGTGTTATACATTTTCTGAAAGCTCTTTTCGAGGGCTACACAATGGTAATATTAATATTTAGAAATACGGCATTTTTTGACGCATTTCAGCGCGCACAAGATGGGATCCTCAAAATTTTTGATTTTCAAAGCTATTTTTCTTTATGATAGAGTGCTGAAATCGCTCTGAAACTACGATTTTCGGAATCTACGCAAAAATTTACCTTAGAATAATCAATATTTGCAAAATTTTATCAAAGTTTCATAGCGAAAAAACCACATTTGCGAAATTCTCACAAATGGATTTCAGCCCAAGAAGTGAGAATTATTATTACCAGTGGAAAACACTCGCGTGAAAACTCTCGGAAAACACCAGTGGAAAACGCGTTTTCCACTGGTGTTACAAGTCCACGTTTTCCGTGCAAACTAAGCGCCGCCCCTTTTTGCCAATGACTGCGCACAGACGGACAGACGTCTCTTCGGCTTTATATATAGGAGATTATTGCTTAATCAGTAGCTTTTCTTGGATTTTCTTGCATTAACTACGATAGTGACATTTTGATTGAAGTTGGCGACTCTAACGGTAAGAATAATGCTTTTTGGTTGAATAAATTCTTGTTGAACTGCTAGTGAATAAATTATTTGGTATTGAAGATATTAAAAAGATAATCTGAAACCTGAGAATCTTTGCTAAAGCATTTCTGAGGTCTCCTATAGCATTTGTGAAAATTCGTCAACTGTTAAAGAGATTATTGTCTGTTTATCATTATCATTAAAGGTATTTTCATTATTGGCTTTTTGAAGTTTAGTTGTTTCAATGATTTCCAGCAATATTTCTCTCTAAAAGACAGGAAATTAGAAGACCCTTGCTCATTGACTGAATCAGAAACAAAATACTAATTCATTTGCTTGATAATGCAACTACCGTGCAATACACTGCAACTACCGTATTTTCTCTAATAGTAGTGCACCCCGGCGAGCCGAGTTGGTGCCTATTTTACGATTTCCAAGCTTTTGCAGAAGCTCAACACTCTAATCCCCCACTAGATCTCATCGTCAGCTACATTTTCCGACCGCACATCGATAGGTTCTGATAAGCGGTTCTCGAGATCTCGAGCAATTTAGATGACGCTCATGGTGCACTACTATTAGAGGGAATACGGTATTCTGTACTTTCTCTAATTGTAATGTCTCTCCCCCTCCCTCCGGCCAAGCCGAGTTGGTGACTATTTTACAGTTCCCAAGCTTTCCCCGAAGCTTTCCCCACATCGATAGGTTCTGATAAGCGGTTCTCGAGATTTCGAGCAGTTTAGGCGACGCCTAAACGCTACCAATCTTAATCTTTGTATTCCAGATGAGTTTGCAAGAAAAAGAGCTTCGAGTTTTCCCCAGGTTAGTCAAACGAAAGCGAGCTCGGTTTCAACAGGACAACGCTAAGCGTCAAACCGCCAAAAAGATCAAAGACAAGTTTAAAGAGCTGGACAGAGTTGAGATTTTGCCCTCCGCATCCTGCCTACAGTCGTCCGGACCTACGTACCTAGTTGCCGTATCTGATAAGCGGTTCTCGAGATTTCGAGCAATTCAGACGACGCTCAGGGTGCACTACTATTAGAGAAAATAACTTCGATAATAGATAACTTCAAATACAATCTTTTTGCTTTACTTCTCCTTCTTAAGCGAAAAAACCTCTTCTTGTTGACTCACCATCCATTGTGTTTTCTGCAAATGAATTTGGGAAAAAAGAGAAGAAAAATTGGTGAAACAATGAGAAAGCTCTCCTCCCTTTTTGACGTCAATGGAGGTACTCCTTGAGGAATTGATTTTTCACTGCTATAAAGCAAAATAACAAACCAACAAGGTACACTTTTGAGTGCAAACAGGCCAATGCTTGTAATCGTTTTTATAAAAGCCTTCTTTCTGTCCTTCTTTCTGGCTTACTTTTTTGTTGAAGCAGGCTTTTGCTAAAAGTTTTGATGAAAAATTGAACTTGCTATTGGAAAACTTTATTTAATTGGCTGAATACTAAGCTACAGTAAGTCAGGATAGAAAAAATTCTAGCGGTAACATTGTCAATCGAACTATTGTCAATCGAAGTTACTGTCAATCGAAGCGCTTTAAGAATTCAGTCTACCTGGCTTGTTAAGCGAAGGCTTCGATCTAAAAAGAACCGTATTGGAACCGTATTGGAACCGTATTGGATCTAAAAAGAACCGTATTGGAACCGTATTGGAACCGTATTAGATCTAAAAAGAACCGTATTAGCACCATATTACTGTTAAGGTAACTTGAAAGTTGTTCGTATTCAATCAAGGGCTTTCAAAAATCAAACTGCGACATTAGAACCCTGTCTTCCCGGAGCTTGGCAGTTGCAGCGGTGGCGCGGTGGTAGTGAGCTAGAACGTAAGACGACGGCTATCTAGTTCGACTCCAGTGATTGATTGTCCTACGTTCTTTTTTTGTATTTTCTTGTGTTCCTATTTGCCTTTTGTGTTCTCTATGTCTGTCGCAAAGAGTCGTATAGCAAATGGTAGACTACTAATAACTGCTCAAGGCATTAAAGGGGAAAGGCAATCAGCTGCCGGACTCGAACCAGACAGCTCGGCCTCTCGGCCACCGTGAGGCCGAAGACAGGGTTGTAATGTCGCGGTTTGATTCTTGAAACTCCTTACAAAACTTTGAACGCATATAACTTTTGACATAGTGCTCCGTAGCAAAAAAGAAAAGCAGCATCATGATCAGCGTGAAATTCTGCGTCGAATAGTTTATAGTTCATGTGAGTCTTGACCTAAGCCTAAGCCTTGACCAGCATTTCCAGTTGACTTTCTCTTGTAAGCCATTTCCAAGCCTCATTCCTACTTGTAAGCCTCTTGTAAGCCTCATTCCTACTTGTAAGCCTCTTGTAAGCCTCATTCCTAATTGTAAGCCTCTTGTAAGCCATTTCCAAGCCTCATTCCTACTTGGAGGCCTCTTGTAAGCCTCATTCCTAATTGTAAGCCTCATTCCTACTTGGAGGCCTCTTGTAAGCCTCTTGTAAGCCTCTTGTAAGCCTCATTCCTACTTGGAGGCCTCTTGTAAGCCTCATTCCTAATTGTAAGCCTCTTGTAAGCCATTTCCAAGCCTCATTCCTACTTGTAAGCCTCTTGTAAGCCTCATTCCTACTTGTAGGCCTCTTGTAAGCCTCATTCCTACTTGTAAGCCTCTTGTAAGCCATTTCCAAGTTTTTTTTCCCCAATCACTCTACTATTTTGTTGTCTTTACCTCTCAAATAAACTGGAACTAAAAACCCGCAGAAATTCTTGAACTTCTTTTTCCACTAAACTAATTATTGTGAAAGTCATCTGCTTTCTTTTCATTTTTTTTCCTCTCCAATTTTTCGTCTTTCACCAATTATTTCCTCACTTTAGACCCAGAATTTTAAATAGCTCACAACTTTAAATTAACTTTCAAAAAGGGAGAAAAAGAAAAAGATAAAAAGGTTGAATTCCAAAAAATTAACTAATTATTTAAAGATAAAAAATTTTCATTTAAAATTTGGCATTTGTAAGTCAAAATTTAGCTCAGGACGATTTCGTCACAGCTTCCATTTAGCTACAAATATAATTAAGCGATCAGAATTTCTCACAGCTATAAATAGAGGATTTAAACTGGTCTAGGAAAGGGTGTAAGTTCATCGATTTACTAAAACTTTGTTTTTATTCGAAATTCTTTATTCTTTATTCTTGATTCTAAATTCTTTATTCTTTATTCAAATTCTTACTCATGAAACACTATCGCTTAAGGGCAATGTCGTCCAGATTGTGCTGGATGTAAGTTTTAAAACTAGAAGCTGATTGTCTTTCTAGAATCTGATTGTCTTATTCAATCACAAAAACACTAGAGCCTAAATAGGATTCCAATTCCAATAGAATTCTGCTTGAGTTGAAAAATTTGAACCAGCTTGAACCAGCTTGAATAGGACTTAATGCCCTAAAGCATTCAATCCGATTTTGTGCTTTTTGTGCTCTATCTTTCACCTAGTGACACAAAAATAGGTTTCCTTAGCTAAAGTGTGTCTAAAGTCTCTTTTCTAAAGGTAAATTGTCCGCATCATCAAGTCGTCGCTCTTTTTTGACTACCCGACTTTGCATTTCCAAAAAAATTCAAACCTAAGGCATTTCAAACCCATTTTAATGTTATTTTGCAGACAAATAGTTCTGTTCTATTTGCTGATTTGATTCTACTGAAGAAAATCAGCAGTAAAATCTTCAGTAGAATCAAATCAGAGCCAACGCTGAGTAAATGAGGCCTATCCAACTCGGGTATCGTGTCGCCTGGTTTGCACGGAAATGAAAAATCCAATTAAGCTCTATTTGGTATTATTTGAAAGCCTGAAATGTCCCCTGTACAATGATATAAAAGGTTAACAAAAGTATGATCTCTAGACAAAGTTATAAGCCTTCAAAGCGCGACGATCGGTTCAAAATACCCGGATTCTTTCAAAATTCGAGTATTTTGTTCAAGAAACTACTCAAGAACCGACATTTTAAATCCGTTTTAATGCTTTAACGCTTTAACGCTTTAACCCTTTAATGCTATTTTGCAGAAAAAGAATGAAACAAACCGTAGAAATAAATTTCGAATGAAACAAACTATCAGAGAATCAATTAGTGTTGTTGGTTTTAAACGAAAAGACAAAAAGGAACGAAAGGACTTTTTCAGCAACAATGATGATTCCCCAAATGATCCAAATGATTCCCCAAATCCA